GAAAAGCACTCACATTCACCGCGGTGGTCCTTGACGACAAAAGGCTCGGTGATGGCCTCCCTCACGCGCACCACACCGCCATCCGCATCACGCGCCACCACCACCCTCGCCCCAAGCCTGAACCTCCTGCTCCGTATCCAGCTGGAGTTGTCCGTCAGCTCGATGTCACCGCCGCCGCCGAGGCACGCCACGCCGTCCCTCATCGGAAAACTCCTCAGATCCACGCCGCTCCCGCCACGCGCCGCCAGCAGTGGCCTCCTCCCGCTCCTCTCTCTCACCACGCTCTTCTCGAACTCCTCCTCCGTCCACGTCATCACCGTGTTATTATCATCATCATCACTATTATTATTACTGAGATTATTTGGGAAATCCCCATCGAGAACCACGAGCTCGATTTTGATGGGGAAATCGTGAGTTATGGGGATATTGGTGTTGTTCGGCCCCGATTGGGAGTCGATTAGGAGGATCTGTAAAGGGCCGCCGTGGGCGTCCAGAATCTTAGTGCCGGTGAATATTGGGAGGGACAGCTTTTGGGAGAATCTGAGGTGGAGCTGTGGGCCCGGTGCGGATGACGTGGCAATCAGCGGCGGTGCTGACCTCAGCATCTTGTGACGGCAGCTCATCAACGCCTTTTCCACTTCTTCACTCACCTATATTTTTGCCACTTCACCGTTAGTTTCTCACTGTGGAGGGACATTTTTTTTTTCAACCTCAAAACAAATTATTCAGCACAATATTTCAAACACTTACTTTTCACCCTAAAATACACTCAATATGTGATTGCACCATGAGTGCCAAAATACATACTTTATAGGTAGTTAATCACACAAAAATCGTTACGTTTTAGTTGATCACGTAGAAAAAAAAAAGAATTATTTGAATGAGAATTTTAATCTAAATTATGAGGCAAAAAAAATAATTTGAAGAAAATTTTGATATTTGAATTTGACATGAAATTTAATGAGAAATGTGCGCATGACATGTCAATTTCCGATTAACATTTAATTTTCTTACTTAATTTTTTCTCAAGTTTAACAACTTTAAAAGTTACATGACTACTATCGATTGATTGAATTAATCCAATATAGCTATTTCTGATAGACTTTAAATTTACAAAACTACTTCTAAAATTTCAAGAAAAAGAAAGATATGCATGAAAATGTATTATTTAGTTTGACGGGGTCAAATTTGCTGACCTGAACCTGATAGAATGATATTGCGCTCCAATTTTCTTTAACTATATATTTGTAAAATGGAATATACGAAAAGATGATGCCACTTTACAATTTTAAAAGTAGAGGGATTAGTTTTAATTCTTGTACGTATATTATTAAAGAAGCCACAAATTTCATTAATTTCGTATATATACAGTTTGAATAAAATAAAATGTAAAAGACATCGAATTAAATATAAAGAAACTTCTACACCCGATCTTTTATTATCTTTAAAGTCCTATTCTCGTCGAGATTTCAAAGCTAACTATCCTTATGAATTATGTTGCAAGCATAAATATTTTCATCAGTCTACTTCAAGTGCAAGTCCAAAACAACATAATAATTATAAAGTTAGTTATAACTTCTATAATTTGTATGATACTATATATATGCTGAGTTAAACAGTTGCAATGTATGTGTTACCACTCTTCGAAGCATTGGCTCCAAAGTTGAGCTGAAATCCTCCAAGAAATTCACCATAACCACTTCTCTTATCACACTGTCATCACAAAACAATAGCAATCACACAACATATCTACCATGAGTCTTTTGCATTAGTTAATACATAACTACATGTATAAAACAAATTGGTTAGTTAGACTGCCTAATCATTAAACAAACATATACCTTCTTAACAAAAATATTTGTAACTATATTATGGAATATCATAGTTTTATTTATCTTATGTATGAAAATGCGTCATTTGTTTATGAAAGTATCTGAATTGGTTGAATGAGTACGAGTGTAAATGGTTAGACGGACTAACATAAGAACTACAATCTGTGTATATTTATCCATATACATCTATATGCATGGAAATCTTACGAAGCAAAAGAAGATTTAGTTTTCGTCTGTTTTCGGTTCGGCAGGGCTTCGTCGCCGTCCAATAACCGTTTGGCTGCCATGTTTAGTTCTGCACACAACTTGCAATGATGGAGAAAACAATCAACTACAGTTTCCTCAACTACATATATTTTCAATTGTGACAAAGTGAATAAGATAGGTAGTGGACAAGATAGAGAGAAGGGAAAATGGGAGGGAAGTGTAGTAAAACGGAGAAAAATGAGCGAATGATACTTGAAGACTGGAAAATTGGGCAAAAGTTATTTAATTTATTGAAGTGGCTTAGGTGTAATATATGTCCACGAAGCTTCTTGGAATGGTTTAAGAAGGCGCACGGTAGGAGAGAGAGAGGAGAGGTAATTCCTACGTGGATTCTCTGCCAAACTGATGTAGGGACTTTGACGTCAACTCTTGCAAAAGTCAACAGCTTAAGTTTATTATTATTTGGGTTAATTGGACTTAAATCTCTAATCTTTATTTCAACTTTCTTGTTAATCTCTAACTTTTAATTTATTTACTGCACTCCCTATCAAAATCCTCTATTTCCTCAAAAACTATCCCTATATATATACTTATTATTATTTATCATTTAATTTTATTTATAAATCATAAGAACTGAATAATGTCAAAACAAAAGAAAAAAAAAGCCGACGACTCTCCAAAATCCTCAAATCCTAGAAAAATCTAATCCCAACTCAAACTTTTTTTTTTCTTTCAATAGCTTGTTTTTCCTTTCAATTACAGTCCGATTGAAGGTGATTGGAGCTGGTTCAATGGCATCTGGTGTAAATTTTTTGCAATAATCGAAGAAAGCGGCGGAGGGAACGAGATTGAGGCAAAGGGGCCGCGCCTTACAGTGGCCGCAGCAGCAAGAAATCCATCCCCACCGCGACTCCCTCCACCTCCCACCACCGCGGCCGCAAGAAATCCATCCCCACTGCGTCGCTGCCGCCTGCAACGAGCTGTACGACTTCGACGATGACATCGACTTCGCAAGAAGTCTTAGAGTTTGACAATACTCATTAAATGTTAGTTTAGTACCCAATATCGGGTCTTTAGTACCAACTCCAACAAATATAAAAAAATAATGAATTTTGGTCTTAAATGATATTTATATTACTCAAAATCACTCACACATTAGTTTTTATAAGTTTTTGAATTTTATAAGTTTCATCGCTAAGTGGTCATGAGCTCGCACATTAATGAACAAACACTACTAATACACTTCATCTCATTGAATGATCATGCATAACTACTCTAAATTTCACCTATATGTTTTAAATTTATTTAATTTTCAACAAAATCATGCGTGAACGATCCATGTGACATGGTAGACGTGACGGATTAAAGAAATCACGATTAGTAAAATAGTACTTTTTTTTCCTACAAATAGTGCTAATAGTGTCTGTATTCAGTACCTGTTTTTAATCAATTAGTACATACTTCTGGTCAACGGAAATAGATTACTTTAATTCTGGTCGACGTTTGCGAGATTATTACTAGCTCTAGAGTTCGATAGTACTCATTAAATGGTATTTTAGTACCTAATATCGGGTCTTCAGTACCAACTCCAACGAACATAAAAAAACACAGAATTTCGATCTTAAACGATGTTTATATTACTCAAAATCACTCACACGTTAGTTTCTATGAAATTTTGAATGTGTTTAGTTACGTTTCTTCTCCAATTAGTGATGAACTCAATACACTAATGAACAAACATTGCTAATACACTTCATCTCGTTGATACGCATCATTACATTGAATGATCATAGATAACTACTCTAAATTCTACCCATATGTTTTGAATATGTCTAGGTTTTTACTATTCTAGTAAAAAAATTGTCCCTGTAATCGAGTTAAGAAATGTTTGAAATGATTCAAATACTTACCCCATTTCCGAGTTCGATACTGTATTTCTAGGAAGGTCGGTTTTGTTTGTTTCCGACTTGTGAAACTTGTGAATCGGCATTTTGTGCCCTTATCAAACCTCAAGTTTTCAACCAAATAATGCGTGAACGATCCACGTGACATGGTAGACGTGACGGATTAAAGAAATCACGATTAGTAATATGGTACATGTTGTTCTACAAGTAGTACCAATAGTGTCTGTATTCAATACTTGTTTTTAATCAATTAGTACCTACTTTAGTCAATGAAAATGAATTACCTTAATTTTGGTCAACGTTTGTGAAATTATTACCAGCAATTAGACAATACTTATTAAATGGTGGCTTAGTACCCAATATCGGATCTTCAGTACCAACTCTAACAAATATATAAAAACACTAAATTTCAGTTTTAAATGATGTTTACATTACTCAAAATCGCTCACACATTTGTTTCTAGGAGTTTTTTCAATATAAGGCCCGAAAGATAGATAAACAATCAAATCAGGGTCCGGAAGATTTTTTTTTCTCAATTCGAGACCTAGATTTTATAAAACTATCGATATGAGGCTTAAAATTAACAGCATCAACTTAACCCCATCAACACATAATTTGAAGTTTTAAAACACCCAAATCTTCTACAAAGTACAAAGGTAAAAAAAATTAAAAAATGAAAAAAAATAAGAAAATAAAAAGAAATTGACAATAGACTTAAACAATGGCAGCCATAAAAAAATAAAATAAAAAGGTGATTTTGCCATTTGTGTCATTTGGCCATATCAGGAACAATAGGCCATGTTCGGGCCCTTCGGGGCCATGGTATTTTTTAGTTTTTCTTTTCTTTTAAAATCTGGATCTAGTTTTTTTTTTTTTCTTATCTTTTTTTTTAATAACTTCCAATTTAACGGTGTTACGTATTCTGTTAATTTTAAGACTAATATTGATAGTTTTACAAGATTTAGGTCCCAAATTGAGAAAAAAAAAAAAGTATTTTAGGCCCCGATTTGATAGTTAACCTATTTTCAAGTCTTGTATTGAAAAAACTCCTTGTTTTTCTATGAGTTTTTGAATGTGTTTAATGAAGTTTCTTCGCTAAGATGGTCATGAACTCAACACACTAATGGACAAACACTGCTAATACACTTCATCTCATTGAACGATACACTTCATGTTATTGAATGATCATACATAACTATTATAAATTCCACCTATATGTTTTAAATTTGTCTAGTTTTCAACCAAACCATGCACGAATGATTCACGTGACATGGTAGACATGACAGATTAAAGAAATCACGATTAATAAAATATTTACTGTTTGTCTTAACCATAGTACCAAGGATGTTGATATATAATACCTATTTTAAATCAGTTAGTACCTATTTTGGCCAACGTAAATTGATTACCTTAATTTTGGTCAACGTATGTGAAATTTGTACTGGCCCTAGAGTTACACAATACTCATTTAATTCTACTTTATTACCTAATATCGGGTCTTCAGTACCAACTCCAATGAACACAAAAAAATAATGAATGTCGGTTTTAAATAATGTTTATACTACTCAAATTCACTCACACACTAGTTTCAATAAGTTTCTGAATGTGTCTAATTAAGTTTCCTCGACAAGTGGTCATGAACTCAATAGAGCTTTAATTTTGAAATTCAAAAATATCGTGATTTTATTTTTAGGCACTTTTCATTTATTATGGAAACAAATTTGTCTATTAATTTCCTTATAAATAAAGATTATCCCTTAATATATATCACAACCGCAACATTTTATATGTATTGCAATTAAAATCACCTAAGCGCAACATTTCATATATGAAATTGAAAACAAATATTATCATTAATATTTATTATCACTGTAACCCACCTAAATTATTAATTAGAATATTATAATTATTTTATTATACAATCAATAAATATAATTCAAAAAAATATTTATACAAGAACTTGAGGATGGATAAAATTATTCCCGTTAATTGATTTTAACTCATAGTTTTAAACACGTCAATTAAAAAAAGTTATAAGTCTAGAGTTAATGTTTAATTTATTTTTAAAACTAAAATATAAATATATTCCAAATTTAACGAAGAATTATAAAGAAGATTTTGGGACTGTTGGGGATGGTACTTGGTCTGTAATTTAGGAATATAGGAAGAGAAGAACGAATGAAAGGAAACTAAGGGGAGCAACTTGAACAAAAAGAAGAGAATATAAATTGACGAGAAAAGAAAATGGAAATTAAGGAGATAAAGAATGTTGGTATAATAGTTGTTAATAAAAATTAGGGTGTTAGTATAGTTGCAACTAAAAAATAGAATTACCATATATGCAAATAAATAAAATGGACATTGTTGATGGATGGAGTATTTTTTCTCTAAATTAAAGTCAGTGCTACTACCGTGTGCCTAGGTACACCTAGCTAGGTGTGCCAGGGCAGTTTAAAATGAACATGTTATGTTACAAAATGAACATGTACAAACATGATTTGCACATGTTTATTTTGTAACATAACATGTTCATTTGTGGCACACCTAGCTAGGTGTACCTAGACACACCTAAGTATTTGCGAATTAAAGTACAACCTGATTTGATTTGATTTGAGAGACGGGCATCTTGAACCTCAACTTCAAAAATTTCCCCAAATTCTCGAACGACGGTTGTGCTTGCGAAGCTTCACCCTAACCCCGACGGTGTTCCTCTTCCCCACCGTCTCTTTGTTCCCCCAATTTCTCGCCTGTAAGCTCTCGTGGATTTCTTGTCCCAGCCTCCTCTCCAGTCCGCTATTTTAGGCAACTGAGGCAGAGGCTTCTCCCTTCTCTCTGTTTGATCACGAATTGTCAGTCTTGCACGGTGCACCTCCAATGTCGATGGTGGCGGTGGCGGGACTGTCCGACAGCTTTGGCGGCGTGGAGTGGGAGGTCGGGTTTGTCCGCGAGTGGTTGTGGATGAGCTTGGGCATTTGCGTCACCTTGCCCTGTTCCTTGTTCCTTGTCCGGCTGCTCTGGGGTTGATAGTTGGCGGGGGCTTGGCGGCCTGTGCGTTGTTTCGAGGCGGCCGAGGTTGTGACGGGGGTCGGTTGAGGGGAGGGCCACTGCGTGCTTTCATGGTCGGGAGCCATAGGGGAGTGAGGCTCGGGAGTTAGTTGGACATAGTTAGCCAGCTCTTTGGAGAAGGGAGTGTCGAAATTCACTCCTTCAGTCGTTGTCATGCTCATCTTGGTTTCTGTGGTCGGGTGTCTAGCTGGTGTTGGCCGGTCAGAGCAGTTTGTTGACTGTAAATGAGGGCTTTGTTGTAGTCATGTTTTGGTTGTTTGTTTGAGTGTGTGTTTGTAGTGTTTTTTTGTGTTTGTGTTTTTGATGGTACATTATCCATTTTGAGA